AGCAGGCCTGACTGTCGGCCATATCTACATTTGCTGTAGAGCCTTTCATAATCATACCGACTAGGGTTTTTAGAGATGCAGGAGTAGCTTCATTCTGGCACCCTGATGAAAATGAGCCATTGAAAGAGTTTTCTGTTTTMAGAACTTCTCTTCGTACTATTTGTGCTGCTTTGGCCAAGTACCATGCATCTGAACTTCCCTTTTTTGCCTCCTTCAAAGCTCCTCCAATGTGTTGCCTCAGTACCAGTWGTACTTCTCTTCCCTCGTAGTGAGCTGTCAAGTCAGAAAATGTTTCCAAGATCCTGTCCTTAAGTCGAGTTGAGTTAATTTTATTATCACACTTTACTCCAAGCTCATGCAGCTTTAACGAGAAGTATTTCACCAAATTAGATAATTTTAATACAGGCAAGTCTTCTGATTCAAGACTTTCGTCGATATAGGCGAAAAGTTCTGCAAATGCAAGCTCTTCTAATTCTATTGGTGGCCTTTCTGCGTCATTCTGCAGTTGTACTTTTGCTGTCTGCCGGGCTCGATTATATAATCTCACCAAGCACTTAGTGTGGTATTTGGCCTCAGCTGCCATTAAATCTCCACACGTATTTAACTTTGCTTTTAACTTGTTGTCATTCACCGCATCTATACAACTCTCAACCTTTTTGTTCACATCAAATGTTGAAAATGAATGTAGATTTATGGGATTGTCTTCCTTGTCACAGAAAAAACAGTAGTAGTAGAGGGCTTTGGAAGACAATGTGGCACTGGATCTTCTTGTTTTGAGTGGACTGCAAACGCTCCCGTCACTTTCAATCTGGGTATCGTCTTCATTAGCATCAGGCTGACCAGAAAGTTTTCTTTTCTTTGCTCGCTYAAGTTTCGTATTATTAAAAATGTCTCGGCACGTCTTATGCCATGATGCATTTCTCTGTCTAAGAGTTTCTTCTATCCCTAGTCCTTCGTCAAGTAAACTTAGATTCAACCATTTAGGAACACCACTAATGCTTTTAAACTCTAGAATGTTACTCGCAAATGAGGTATAGCCAACACTCCCATCTTTGCGCTTTGTATTTGCCGGACATTGCAATCCTTCTTTTGTTTTCCGCTGGCAAATRACACRCTTGCTCCAATCCATGGGGATTTCAACTAAAATGRTTAATTTGACACCATTATTTAACTTTTACTTAATACAAGTTGAGAGTTATGGTGACATGCAGTTAATCTTGATTATTTTGATTGTAATTCATTCGACTAAGTTCAGGCTTTTATCTCGAATAGATTTCAGTCGAGTTCAAATGATTCAGTCAAATAATTAAGCGCGATGTCATACTTTATTTAGAAATGACGAACGAGTTGAAGAGGTTATGAATTCCTAAGGTAAATATAGAAAAAAGAAAAAGAAAAAATTGATTGGATATAACCAAGAGAAACAAAATAATATTCTTACCTGCAGTAGCTGTAAGTATCCC